TTTGTGCAATGAAAACCATTGTTTTTCTCCACTAGAAATAATGCCTAAATACAAGCTAAGTATATTGTATACTTTGGGATGGGCAGGTTTTGATGGTTCAGGAACCATTTATGCCCTTCTCACAGCCTGGAGAGCCGCTCCCCCCCAATGCACAACCCCTATTACCATCATTATATAAAAAGGCCAAATCATGTTCCTCAAAACTTGAGGGAGTATGAATTGCCACAGGAGGGAGGCAAAAAAGGCTTTACAGAATGCTGAAATATCAGGGTCCTTTAGGATCCACAAGACCCCTTGCCTCTGGAACCCCTTGAGATTCGCCTGGCACCCTCACTGGGAATTTTTAAAAACAAACTGAAGACCTGGTTCTTCAGGCAGTCCTTCCCCCCTTCGATTTCTTAGTTATCTATGTGTTACCTTCTTGGACTTGGCCTATCTCTATGTTGGTTGATATTGTTGTTTTGATTTTTGTTTTATACTCAGACTGTAAGCCACCCAGAGTAGATTCATTGAATCTAGATGGGCGGAGTAAAATCTAGATAAATAAATAAATAAATAAATAAATAAATAAATAAATAAATAAATAAATAAATAAATAAGGTTAAACAAGGAACCAACTGCAAACTACATTGAACCCATCCTTTATCTAGTTTGCCATGAAGATGGCTACCTTAGGCAGACTTGAGTTTCAAGAAAGGGCAACAAATTATGTGGGTGTTTTTTTCAGTGTGAGTGACTGGTTTGCAATTTCTGGAGCCTTGAGTGCCAAAATAACCTGGGTGGTCTTCTTTATTATACACCTTGATAGGGCATATGATGTCAATGATACATCATAATTTTACCTACTTGGTTAAACCCCACACCTAAGTAAGACATCAGGTGTGGATCTTCGGTCAGATAAAACATCTGGTATATAATTACTACTAATGGATTATGGTGTGAGTGGAAGGGAGCTTCCTTTGCCACTTCAGATTAAGCCTCTCCTCCACCTCACTTGGACTATGGCCTCCTTCTGAGAAGCAACTTATTTTCTGTGCAGATACCCAGCAAGAACTCCTCTTTCATCAGGCAGAAGTGGAACTGTGCTTTTGAGAAATCTATCAGGATTGCAAGAGAAAGAGAAGTACCCTTGAAAAGAAATCAAGGATGCCCGAGCCACTGAACCATTATGCTCACAGCGAAAACATTTTTAACCCAAATCGAATCACTTGTCTGATTGATAGTACAGCACATAATGCATTGTTAGTCTGTGACAGGTTTCTCTAAAGTTTGTTGAGTATTGGAATGCCAACCTGGGTTTTTTCTTACTGAGTAGCACAAGGAAACCTGTACCTTTTCTAGAATTGTTACTTACACCACTTTGCTTCTTTTCCTCATCCTTTATTCTGTCAGGTCCGCTGGCGTGCATTGCCATGGCGAACCTCCTTTGCCTTCCCCCTCCAGAACAGCGCGAGAAGCAAGAAGCGCTCACTTGGGGGGATGGGGGAGCATCCATAAGAGGATGTTTCCCATGTGTTCAGCCTCTTTCCGAGGCTATCACTCCCTCAGCAGCTGTGTGGCACACTGAGGGAATTTTCCTGCTGCGTCAGAAAACGGGAAAGAGAAGACAACATTGAGGGGGGGAAATAGCACTCTCCGAGGTTTGGCTTTGATCGGATTCCCAGCCTGCCCCCCTTTCTGAAGAAGTCGATCAATTCAGCAGA